TGCTTTAAAAGCACTTTTTAAAGCGCCCTTTTTCTTTCTTGTCGCGCTGCTGATGACGTCACGTACGCGCTTTAATCGGGCGCGCTTTAGTGGACCGCGGTTTTGACGTGCCACGGGAAGGGACAGAGTCCTCATTCATCTATCCTACAAGAATCAGGAAACGTCAATACCTTTTGGTATTGAGAAGGTTCGTTTGAGCATCATTATGGGAGCACTGCTTCAGCCCACACCAAAGGCAACTTTGGGAACAGCACTCCAAGCACAGCAAGCCATCCTCAAAGAGTCCAACAATCGAGGCAACAAACTTAGATAAATGAATGAAGGCAAAGACACGTGACCCAGGATAATGATGCAAAATCGAATTGGGGTCGGTCGCCCAAGACCAGAGGTTTACTCTTCCAAGCTTTCGGGGTCATGCTGGAACACACCTTCAGGGAATTTCTCTCTACTGAAATATGCTCTCAGGGTTCCACCTAACACCCCTGACATATGTGTTGTGGGCTGTTTTGTGAATCTTGTTTATGTGGTGCCTTCCTATTGGCTGATTGGTGTGTTGACGGCTGGCGATTGGCTGTCATTTCCTTGTGCAGCCAAGCCCTCGGCTCCTAAGTATTAGATAGGCTGGTGATAAATCCACAACCCTGTTGACTGACAAGGGGCCCGTTTCCCAGGATTCGATCACTTCCCTGGCTGTTTTTGTACCTGCTCGTCCAATAATCTTAGTAGCTGCAAAATTGAACGTCTTCGTTCATTGCAAATGAACTTGGGTTTCCTTGTCCGACCACTCGTTCTTGCAATCTGGTGGTTAGCTTCCTCCCTGTTTCTCCTACATAATCATAGGAGCCACCCATGCAGGGATTAAAGAAATGATTTGGCCAGAGCACTCTCTGGATGGCATCATTAATTGCTCAATATTTCAATGCAGAAGGCAACAAAATGCGTTTCATAGCTAGACTGGCAACCGGTTCGTCTTTGCTTGGCCTTCCCCAAGCAGCGTCAAGATAGTCACAACTGTATCCAAACAAAGTAAAATCCAACCTTTCTTTAATCCAGGGGTTCCCAACCTTGGCAACTTTTAAGGCGTGTGGGTTTCACCTCCCAGAATTCCCCAGCCAACCATGTCTTATTCAGGTGGGAAAAGAACCAAAAATGCTGCTTAAAGTGCAAATCCGTAAACACCGTTGGCTTTAAAATTTCAAGCTACAATGCCTGGGAGAGTATTGGCGAATTAAACGGGTTTCTTGCTATTAGAAAATTTTACATGTTTACACTTTTTGATGGAGCTCCGTGCCAACCTGTCCCTTTCTGCAGGAACGGAAACCGCTAGCAATGGTGCCCTGATTTCCACCGCCTTTCAGTCTTTTGATATGAAAAGGCTTCGTCCCTTGCCAGAAATATTGCCACCACCACCCCTCGTTCCAAAGGGATCGAAACGGCAATGCGTAATTCAACTTTCATTAAGCAATTGGGCGCAAAGAACTCTGCATTAAAGAAGAAGGAAAAAAACACAATAGTTGCATTATTATTATTATTATTTTGCTCCAGCGTCATCGGTAGGCTTTGTAGAGAAGCCAAAAGAGAGATCTCCTGCCAGGAGGCATTTACATGGCTTAGCTGGGACAGATTAAGAGAGCTATCCTTTGTGAACCGCTTATGGCTGAGATCCCAGCCATGCTTGGGATTCAACAGAACACATTTCCAAGTTGATAGACTGGATTTCGGTGAGAATTGCTTTTGGGTTTAGAGCAGGGGTGTCCAACCTTGGCAACTTGAAGACCTGTGGACTTCAACTCCCAGAATTCCCCAGCCAGTCTACCCCTCCCAGCAGACCCACCTAGCAAACAGAAATTCGTCACAAGGCACCTGGGAAAAATCACATCAGCCAGCAAGGCAAACAATATTGGGTCTCATGACAGCCTACAAAGCAGTGGTGGGATTCAAATAATTTAACAACCGGTTCTCTGCCCTAATGACCAGTTGGGTAGGCATGGCTCGGTGGTCATGTGATTGGGTGGGTGTGGCCAACTCAACGTCACTCACGTCAATGGGCACTTTGCCTTAGTTGTTACAATGGTAATAAGGGTTAACTGGAGAGGCAGTTTCCGTAAGCAGGGCAATAAAGATCAGGCTAGAAACAACACCAGAATGTTTCCTTCCTGCCTTCCTTTACAGGGATCAGCCCTGTAAAGTGGAAAAAAACAAAAGGAGATTTCTTCCAACAACCAGTTCTCCCAACTGCTTAGAAAGTTAACAACCAGTTCTCCCAGATAGGTGTGAACTGGCTGAATCCCACCACTGCTACAAAGGTAGCTAAGACACCCCCACCCGACCCCCTGGGAGTCTGACAACCAATCAGAATGCATTTCTGGGACCCCCAGAGGGCATAAAACCAGGGCATTCTCAGCATCTCCTCCCCTTTTCTACTCAAGAACTCAAGCCGTGTGATTCTGCTCAGGAACTCAAGCCACGTGGTCCTGTCCACCATTAAACCATCTTTCCAAGCAGCCTCCATGTTTCCAGTCTCTTTTTCCCCCCACTTGGAACTGAACCCAGATGGGCATTTTCTTCCAACACGGCTGAGGGATCAATTTTTCATTAGTGGCCCGAGATACTTTGCAACCTTCCTGGAATTCGTGGTGGTAGCTATATAAATCATTCTGATATTCCCGCCCACCGCACTCACCCAAGCTAAACCCTGGGGTCTCCACTAATTGCTTACTAAATTACGTAAGGGAGCCCGTTGAAAGAAAGGCCGGCGTTTGAGTTAAAACCAGACTGGCACTTTAGATGCCAGTTGTTGATGGGAACACCCAGCGACAATGCTTAGGTAGTCGGGGAGCGCAGCGGCTGCCTGGGAATGGCTGAACCGCTAATTAGACTGAAGAAAATAAAACTGTCACTGCAGGGTAAAAGGAGCTAAAAGAAAACAAACACTAATTGCAGTTTCATTGTTAAATAAAGTAGCGTAAAGTAGAATGGAAGGTGGGCGCGGGAGGGTAAATAATAAATCTGTGGATCTGCTTAGGGTTTGTTTTAAATAAGCAAAGCCAAAGTAATCACCCCTAGTGTGAGGAACAGATCAATACGGCAAAGGCAGAAGCAAGCATTGCCTTGAAATAGTTAATATACATCTTAAAGTAGGCGTTTATCCTTGTTCCCTGGAAGCCTTGGCTCACGTGGCTATCAATTGCCCACAACCTTGCGCTTAAAATACAAGTTGCATTTATGAAATTAAATACGCGTTTGGTCACATCTGAAACAATAATTGGATTGCTACTTACATTCTGCTGCTGGGTATAATCTTGTGCCCGTCTCTGAACCACGTGACTTGCGGTTTGGGGTAACTGGGGATGTGGGGGACGTTAAGGACAGCAGCTTGTCCTTCAGGCACGGCTTCCCACTGATTCTCACCCTGGAAATTTCCCATGTCTGCAAAGAAAAGGGTGGACTGAGAACTCCAGAAGTCTCTTATGCCATGCCATATCATACCACACCATTGTTTTAGAATACTGTAATCATTAAGCCTTTATAACAGTCGATGGCATTTGCTATCATTAGGGAGCAAGCTGTAGCAGGCTTTGTGTTACCGCTGAGGGGTGCAGCTTTGTGAGTGTGCGCTGAGGCATGAGACAAAGCCCAGTGACTCTACGACACCTAAGAAATCTGTCTGCACTACCGCTTGTTTGCATTTCACGGGATGGGCAACTGATTGACACAGATTCACAGAAGGCGAGCATCTGTCATGTAACGTTACAACGCAGGCAAATATTCCGAAGGCCCATGGAAATCTAAATAGCTCGAGATGCCAACTTTACAAAGGTCCTTCTGCTTGGAACCTGAGCTGGCGAGAATTTTCTTTACCCGAAAAAGGAGANTGTATGATTCTTGTTTATTTTAATTACGTGTATCATGTTTTATGTTCCCTTTTCCCCTTTTTGAGTTGTTCGCCGCCCTGAGTCCCTCCCAGAGAAGGGCGGCATACAAATAAACTAAATCTGAAATCTGAAATCTGACACCCAGCCTCTTGGCCTTCTGTAGGGACCTTGAACCCTGACTGTGCCAATTAGCCACGGCCAGGTCATTGACGAGGGCAAGTCACACTGGAGGTGATTGATGGATTGAGAGAAGACTCTACTTCCACCTTGCTCCCCCCTTGTCATCTTCATTAATTGTAGTTTTAATACTTAAAATATTAATAGTTTAATCTTTTCCTTGTCGTTATCACTCTGTTGTAAGAAAAGGGATTCCAAATCTGAATTTCTGAATTAATATCAGAAACCTCATTAAATCAAGAGTAGATAAGTCTACTGTGGAGCATATACATTTCATAAGAAATAAAAATAAGGATCCTTCATAGTAAATAAAAATAAGGATCCTGCAAAAATAAGGATCCTGGAGTAGCTATCAGAAGGTGGCCTCAGAATAAGGTCTCCTTGTTAACAGAATAACAGAGCTGGAAGGAACTCTGGAGGCCTTCTATTCCAAACCCCTACTCAATACCCTATACCATTTCAGACAAATGGTTGTCCAATCTCCTCTTAAAAACCTCCAGGGTTGGAACTCTTTTGGAGGCAAGTCACTTCACTGATTAATTGTTCTCACTGTCAGGAAATTTCTCCAGAATTCTAGGTTGGTTCTCTCCTTGATTAATTTCCATCCATTGCTTCTTGTCTGGCCTTCAGGAGCTTTGGATACTAGGTTGACTCCCTTTTCTTTGTGGCAGCCCCTTAGATATTGGAAAACTGCTATTATATCACCCCTAGTCCTTCTTTTCATTAAAGTAGACGTACCCAGTTCCTGCAATCGTTCTTCATATGTTTTAGCCTCCAGTCCCCAAATCATCTTTGTTGTTCTTCTTTGCACTCTTTCTAGAGTCTCCACATCTTTTCTACATCGTGGCGACAAAAACTGAATGCAGTATCCCAAGTGTGGCCTTACCAAGGCATTATAAAGTGGTATTAACACTTCACGTGATCTTGATTCTATCCCTCTGTTGATGCAGATTAGAACTGTGTTGGCTTTTTTGGCAGCTGCTGCACAATGCTGGCTCATATTTAAATGGTTGCCCACTAGGACTCCAAGATCCCTCTCACAGTTACTCCTGTTGAGTAAGGTACCACCTATACTGTACCTGGGCATTTCGTTTTTCATTCCTAAATGTAAAACCTTACTCTTTTCACCATTGAATTCCAAATGCTAAAACAAATACTGATATTCAGTACAGGTAATCCTCAATTAAGAATAGTTCAAGTCACTTCACTGATTAATTGTTCTCACTGTCAGGGAATTTCTCCAGAATTCTAGGTTGGTTCTCTCCTTGATTAGTTTCCATCCAATGCCTGCCCCATTACACTATTGTAAACCTCCATCTGGCATTCTTTCAGTATTTCCAGTACCTTTTGGCTCATGTTGTGTTGCTCATAACACTATCTGACTATGATTTTGTTTCTTCCTTCTGGCTCTTGTGACCCTTAAGTTGTCTTTTGGATGTCAGCATAGCACCTCTTCATACTGAATGAACAAAACGTACTAACGGTTCTTAAAGTGCTAAATTTGATTTGGAATAGACTTTTTCTTTCCCCTTCAGCTCTTTTGTTTGAAGAGTGATTTATAGGGACTAAGATAAGATGGAATAGCACTCTGGATTGTTTATTTTAAATTAGAGCATTGGTTCATCTAAATCAATATTGTCAACACCGATTGGCAATATTCCTTGGGGTTTAAGGCAAGAATTCTCTCAGCTCTAACCAGACGAGGCTTGAATTGTATGCTTAGCATAGATGTGGGTGGCTTTTTTTTTAAAACCACGCAATGCTGCTCCTTTCCTTCGTGTTTTCTGCACCCCTTAGATTTCAGCCAAAGAGGTCAAGCTTTCTTTTTGTTTCTAGAAATAACTTTATTCTGAGGTAAATTGGTGGGAACCATCGGACTATTTGAAGAAATTCTTGGGGCTTCGTAATGCTTTATGTATTTACAAGAAACACGATGAACCCCTAAGACTGTGTGAGTTGGGATTTGGGGCTCTTCCTTATCAATTATGTGAGGAGAGCAGAACCCAAACCATAAAAAGGCTGGCCTGGATCTATCCAAATATGGATTTCCCCCCAATATTCTGTATCACACAAAGAGATCCAGTTTTGTCTAGTAGTTAAGCCACCAGGCTAAAAAAAACCAAAAACTAGTAGATTGTGAGTTCTAGTCCCAAGCTATCTGCTGCGTGATTTAGGCCCAGTCACCAGGAGACTATGAGTTCTAGTCCTTCATTACACATGAGAGCCAACTGGGTGACTTTGGGCCAATCATAAGGAGATTGCAAATTCTAGCCCTGCCTTAAGCAGGAAAGCTGGTTGGGGTGATATTGGACCCCTTACTCTGTCTCAACTCATGTCATTAAGCTTAGGCGACAAACCAGTTGCTCAATTCCTGTGACAACCAATGGATCAACCCTTGGTTAGTCTGGAGAAAGCGGACCCTGCATTAGCAGGAAAAGGAGAGGAAGAAAAAGAACAATACTGTGTCACCCAGTGACATATCTAATCTATCCGTACCTGATAAGCAGATCATAAAAGAATATCGCTCTTCCTAACCCAAGCTGTAATCTTCGATTCAGAATGTAGCTGGAAGTCATCAAAACTAAGTCACTAATGAATTTATCTTAATCCCTTTTGAAAGCTACAGAACTAATCGTTAGCAGAAATACATTTTTTTTAAAAACAAATCTATAAAAACTCATCCCTGTCTCTTGTGCTCTGGGTATTCTCCTCTCCGTGGAAACAGCCAGGAAAAGCCTGGGCTATGTGAGAATTCTGATATGACAGCCATCCGTTAGTGGTCTGATTTATGTATCAAATTGGTTGAATTTATCCTATTCCCTCCATCTTTTGTTTAGACCAAATCTGTTGCTTTGCATTGTCGGCTGAATGAAGGCAGCTGCCTCCAGTTTTCATAACATAAGATGTGCATATCTCCCAGCAGGAGAGCTCCATCAGCAATGCAGTAAATAAATAAACTGAAGGAAATATGTTATTGCTTTCATATCCAGTGTCTAAACCCATTTCAGACAATGAAAGCGGAATACTGGGGGAAACACACACACATACACACATAAATGCACAAACACACACAGACACATAGACAGATACACACAGATATATAAGAACTTAAATGGTGTGTCTGCCACCTAGAGATCCCACCAAGGTCTAGCATACAAGCATTAATAGAATGGCTTTAGAAGAACTTGATGTGTTGAATAAAATCTCACAGGCAACCATGAAAAAAAAGAGAGAAGCTTTTGATTCAGCATACCTAGCAGGGGATCTTTGAAATTTCTTTGTTCTTAAATATAATTGATTCCAACCCGTTGCATTGAAAAAAGCCTGTCCCTCTGAAGACCTCCACCCTTTAAAAAAAAATACACATTTGTATTTTT